ATCCCCCGTGTTTGAGGTGGGGCCCAGTGCAAGGGTTTGGGTCATGCAGTTGGATCCCTCATGAATGGCTTGGTGCCACTCTCAAGGTACATGGGTTCTTGATCTATTAGCTCCCCTGAGAGATGGTTGTTAAAAAGAGCCTGCACTCCCCTCCCCTCTCCTGCTTCCTTCCCCACAATGTGATCTCTGCACGAGCCAGTTCCTCTCCACCTTCCGGCCCGAGTGGAAGCAGTCTGAGGCCCTAACCAGAAAGCCAAGCAGATGGCAGCACCATCTGCTTCTACAGCCTGCAGAACCGTGAGCCTAATAAACCTCTTTCCTTTATAAATGACCCAGTCTCAGTTATTCCTTTATAGCGACACTAACCCGACTGAGACAGCCAGAGACCGAATGTGCGAGGAGGAAGCACTCACCGTGATGGGGAAGAGCCTGCCAGGAACCTGCACCACAGGGGCACTGCCGAAGTAGCTGGAGAAGAGCGAGATGTTGATGGTGGCTGACATGAGGATGACCTTGAGGTCCGGCCGCTTGGGCAGCAGGCGCCGGAGGACACCCAGCAGGAAGTCGTTGTGGAGGTGCCGCTCATGGACTTCATCCACGATCAGGACCTCGTACTGGGGCAGGCTGGGCTCCCGCTGGATTTGCCGCAGAAGCAGCCCGACTGTCAGGAACACGATCTTGGTGGCTGCCGAACGCGTGCTCTCAAAGCGGATCTGGTAGCCGACCTAGGGCGTGAGGAAGGCCCAAAGTGTTGTCAGGAGAGGACCCAGAGCCTGGGCACTAGCCCCCCACCCTGCCCAAATGGAAAATCTCAGCAAATGCCATGCCTCTGCATCAGACTCCGGAGTCCAACGGGCCTGAGTTTGAATCTCACCTCTGCGACCTTGGGCAGGCGATGCCATCCCTTAGAGACCTACTTTTTTCTCCTGGATGCTGTGAGAATTCCACGTGATAATGCACATAAAGTATCTGGCACAATGCCTGGTGTATACATGTTAATTAATTATAGCAATAGTAATTAACTTTTCTTTGAGCCCTTACTATGTGCCAGGAACTACTCTAAATGCTTTTTGCTGGGCACGGTGGCTCACGCCTGTAATCCCAGCCACTTTCAGCGGCTCAGGTGGGAGGATCACTTGAGCCCAGGATTTTTGAGGCTGCAGTGAGCTATGCCACTGCAGCCCAGCCTCGGCGACAGAGCAAGACCCTGTTTCTTTAAAGAAAAACAAAAAGACTGATGAGCATTTAGGACGTTTCCAATTTTGGCTGTGAAAGTACTAGCCTGGTAATGCTCGTACCTTTGTCATTTGGCCAATACAGAAGCCAATCTGTAGATAAAGTTCTAGAAGAATCACTGCTAGGTCAAAGGATAAGTGCTTGAAACTGCTATGTGGACAAGCAACCTATTCCCCAAGGTCACGCTGGAAAAATGGGAAACCTGGTACGTCCCACTCACCTGCGAGCCGTACTGACTGAGGCTCTCAAAGCCAACACGCTTGGCCAGTGAGATGCAAGCGATTCGCCGGGGCTGGGTGCATGCCACGTGACTGAAGCCGGCAGCCAGCAGGTACTGGGGCACCTGAGTGGACTTGCCACAGCCCGTGTCACCAGCCACCACCACCACCTGATGCTCCTTGAGCGTCTTCAGGATGCGGGTCCCGTACTGAGCGATGGGAAGTGCTGCCCGCTCACGCTGCAGTTTGGCCAGCCGCCCAAACGCCTGCTTCTGCCCAAAGTCCAGGTAGTGTAACAGGGCGCGGCGGAACTCAGACACTCTCTCTGGGGGCAGGCGCCTGCCTGGCCCCCGACAGCCCCGCGGGTCGGGGCCGAGGACAGAGAGGTTGATGCGGTACCGAGGGTCGTAAGCGTGAGGCAGGTCGGCCAGGGCCGGGATACTGTGCTTGGGATGCCCGGGGTCTTTCTCCTCCTTCCTGGAGGTCTTGAGATTCTGGAATCTCTGCAGGCGTTCAAAGAAGGTCCAAAACTTCTGGCACTCCTCAGAACCCTGACGGATACAACCCTCTTCATGGAAGAAGGCATCTTCCAAGAGGCGACGCGTCTCTGGACAATTCCAGTCCCATTTCTCCAGGGTCTCCTCCTCACGGGGAGCCCGGTGGTGGTCTCGGTGATCCCTGCCCTCCCTTGTTCGGGGAGGAGGCATGTTGCTAATCACAATGCTACCACAAAAGTGGCCTTGGTTCCGATCACCTGGGCCCAATAGCTCATCTATTCCCCTCCAGAGTAGGAGGCCAGTGCCTGCGACAAGGAATTACTTTCTCTTCAAAAAGCTAATTTTCCTCCTTGTTCACAGTACAGGACCACCGCAGATGACAGAGTAAGTGGCCAGGGGCCTGGTTGAACTGGTGTTGCACGGGGTACCTCAAGACTCCTGCAGTGACCTCTGGGATGGACACAAGTTTATACTGGGTTTGCAGCCTCTGGATGCTTGGGAAAGAGAACAGAAGACATTCAATCATTTTTTGAAATATCTGTTAAAAGCCTGCTGGTTCTCGAGCACTGGACTAGGTCCAAAGAAGGTGCCTTTCCATGCTTGGGTGTCAGGGAAGGATCCCCAAAGGAGGGAATGTTTGACCTGAGACCTAAAAGAGGAGTATGGGTCGCATGGCCAATAAACAGCAGAACTTTGCTGTAAGAGGAAATAACACAAGAGAGGTGAGATATAATGAAAAGAATAAGGCAAGGATTTTTAATCTGGGTCTCACTAAGCTTCAGAACGTTGAGATTAAATGCAAAATTTTGGCTGGGTGTAATGGCTCACATCTGTAATCCTAGCAATTTGGGAGGCCAAGGCGGGAGGACCACTTGAGGCCAGGAGTTCCAGACCAACCTGAACAAGAGTGAGACTCGGTCTCTACAAAAAAATAAAAATAAAAAATTAGCTAGGCATGGTGGCAAACACCCACAGTCCCAGCTACTTGAGAGACTGAGGCAGGGGTATCGCTTGAGGCCAGGAGACTGAGGTTGCAGTGGGCTATGATCATGCCACTGCACTCCAGCCCAGGTAACAGGACAAGACCCTGTCTCTAAATAAATAAATGCAAAATTTTGCAAGTGTTATGTATGTATTATTTTTGCCTAACTGGCACAACCCCTTACCCCTTTTCTGAGAACAGTATCCACGTTCCTTTGGAGAACAACCCTTCCTCAATTCCCCACAGTTCTGAGGGCCTTTAAGCCAGAGAACCCCTACTGGTTGGGCAAGCGACAAAGGCCTAGCCAATCAGCGTACTCTATTCCCCCTTTAACCAGCGATTGGCCTAGGGAGTGGACACGTGACCCAAGCAGAGCCAATCAGGGCTCTTCTCTGGAATTTTACTTGGTTACTAGGAGAAAAAAAGCTCTCACTTTATTGTGACAAGTTTGATATAAACCTGGAGCTGTTGGTAGTAGTTCTGGAACATTATAGTCTTTCCTAGAAGTCTACCCTAGAACAAAGCCTGCACATGGGCACAGTGAGGCACACACAAAGATGGCTACCGTGCAACTACAGGGAGAAAGAAAGATGGAGATGGGGAGAAGCCTGGCAGCATCATTTCATGCCTAAGGCTTAGTTCTCCTCTTAGCTACACAAGAAAATGCCTTTTTGCTTAAAGTTGGGCTTTTGACTTTCAGCTGAAAAAGTCCTAACTATTAATAAAGAGCATACCCTCAATGTGCAATTTTCTGGAGGGAAGTCCACCACTCAGATTCTTAAAGGGGTTTATAATCTTAAAAGGGTTCAAAGCCTTCCTTGGTAAAGGCTTTGGAATCAGGCAGATCTGGATTTGAATCTCAGCTTCATCATTTGGAGACAGGCCAGGCACACTGGCTCATGCCTGTAATTCAAGCACTTTGGGAAGCCAAGGAAGGAGGATCACTTGAGGCCAGGAGTTCCAGACTAGCCAGGGCAACATAGCAAGACCCATCTCTACATAAAAATAAGAAAAATCAGCTGGGCGTGGTGGCACACACTTGTAGTCCCAGCTACTCAGAAGGCTGAGGCAACAGGATCACTTGTGCCCAGGACTTCAAGGCTACAGTGAGCTATGATACCACACCACTACACTCCAGCCTGGGAGACAGAGCAAGACCCAGTCTCTATTTAAAAAAATAAAAAAAGAAAGACAATATCCATCTCAAACCATTGCAATGTTTATCACCTAGCCTGGTACAAAGAAGCTAAACAGTAACTAGTTTTTCCCCTACCACAAGAGATGACTTATATGGGGAAAACAGAGAGACAAACTGTGGTATATATAATCTGGAAAAAATTCCACTCACAAGGCCACAATTCCCCTTCTTAATAGTATTAGCAATGCTCCACCTACTCCGCCTTCAATCTCTCAAGGGCCATCATGGAACAGTTCAGAGATTGAATCTCTGTGGGAGGGAGGTTGGGGGAGGGGGACACTCAGGCCAAACCTGGAAGTTACTAGAACCAGGTAGAGGCTTCAGGTCTCAAGTGAGGAAGAACTTGTGAACTGGCAGAGTTACTTCCCACAGAAACAGCAGCCTGTGGGGAGTGCACATCACTCCTTGCTAAACACCCGGGCTGGGTGACACTAAGGCTGCATCACCCTCCTGTTCTAGGAGGGAGAATGAGAAGGCCTTGGAGGGCTACTGTGACGTGAGTCAGTGATCCACAGAACAGGACAGAACAACAAAAAGCAGAGCGTTCCTATCAGGCTACAAACTGCCCACACATTCTGGGCTCAACTGAGAGCATCCCGTGCCTCTCGAAGAGTCTCTTAGGCTTTTAGATTGTCTAGATCTTCTAGTTTCTGTGTCTCTCACCATCTCTTGGCCTATTTCTCCTAGGCCCGTGGCGATTTGTGGGTTTGTTTCCCTCTCTCTCCTCCCTGGCTCTCATCTTCAAGCCTCCTTCTCTTCCAGCCCATCTTGCTTACCACCCTCATCCCTCTTCATTTATCTATTTTTTAGAATGATTTTCTCTGTCACCCAACTGCCTGTCTCTTCATTCCTCTTCAGTTCTCCACTTGTCTTTCTCCATCTCTTTCTCCTTTTCTGTTCAAATCTTTTTTCTCTGGGTCTCCATTTTTGTCTCCCTCCATTTCTCCATCTAATACTTTGTCTCCCAATCGTCTGAAGCTTTAATAACAACCAGCGCCTTCTTACTTGCTTACACATGTATGTGTTCTAAATCATATATACGTACACAGCGCACTTTTCTCACAACCCTGAGAAGGTGCGATAAGGCTCCCTATTTTACTGAGCCACAGAGACGTTAGGTAAGTAGTAAGTGGCAGATGAAGAATTCAAATCTAGGGATTTGGATTCCACTTTCTCCTTTCTCCATTTTTCGCAAGATTCGCGAAACCATCTTTGTCAGGTTCTCCCTATTTCACTGTCTCCATTTTTACCCATCAGTGTCTTGCTTCTCCATTTAAATCGTTCTGGGAACACACCCACTTTGCTGGTGTGTCTCCCCAGTCGACCTCACATTTGACTTCCAATAAACCTTTATCGATTTTTTTTAATTAAGATAAATCGTTCCCCTTTTCAGTCTATTTCTGTACCCTAGTGTCCAAGCTACGCGCTCTACAATTCCCTCTACCAGGTGCGACCACACTTCTCTCGACCTCGTGGTCTCTGTGAGCCTCTCTCGGCAGAACCCATCAGCCTTTTGCCCACGGTCTCCCTAGCTTTCGGCTTTCCTCCTCTCTCATGCTCCCCGTCTTTCGGCCCCTCAGTTTCTCGAAGCTTCTGTTTGTGCCTCCATTTGTCTGGGGCTTCTCTATTCCCCAGGTTCTCTCGGAGACGCTCAGAATCCATCTCCGTCCGCTTCTAACCGCCCTTCGGCTTCCTCCCACATTTCTTCTCATCTCAGAATATCCCTCCTAACTGGGCTCACTTCCTGACTACCTCCCACCAGGTCCGACACCGGGCCCCACCGTCCGCTCCCCTGCGTCCGCCCCACCTCCCTCACCTCACTAACCGCCGCGATGGCCTCAACTTCCGGTCCCAAGAGGCCCCTCTCGCGTCCGTAGCCAGTACTGCGCCTGCGCATGCTGCCTACGGCCTGACTCCGCCCCGCCGCCGACAGAGGAGCCAGTCGGAAGCTGCGGGCTAGCTGCACAAGACCCACTTTGCGCCTGCGCACAGTACGCTCCTGCCCCGCCTCGCTTTGGGCGGAGCCTCAAGTGACTGCGCCCTCTAGAGGCCCGTGGAGGCGTTGCGGTGGAGACTTGCAAGCCCCGCCTCCCCGGCCCCGCCCCTCCTCGCCGAGGTGCGGCCACCTGCATCCCATGATCGCTGGGACGCTGGAGTTTTACCCCAAGAGAGGTCGCTGGGGCCCAGGCACTATTAAAACAGTCCCGTGATCACTCTATTAATGTATAATTTACTAATAAATAATCCAAGTCAAACCGCCAGCTCCCAGCAGGGGCCATTTCTGTCTTAGTCATCCTTTGTTCCCCCCGCGCCCTCCAAAGGGCCTATGCGGGTATACGGTTGGGAAATGTTTGTTGAATGAATGATCAAGTGAATAGAAAAGTGAATCCTCTTCAATATAGGAAAGCAACACCATAAGGTACACGTGGAAGTTCAGTGTTTTACTAGAGTTTACTTTTTAAAGTAGCAAAGTAGTCATAAAGAATTTTCCAACATACCCAAGACTATTGCATAAAAACTAAAGGGGACTGCTAAAAATATTTCTAAAAGAAAAAAGAATCCAGGCACGGTGGTGTGTGCCTGTAGTCCCAGCTACTCGAGAGGCTGAGGCAGGAGGATCGCTTGAGCCCAGGAGCTTGAGGTTGCTGTGAGCTGGGCTGACGCCACGGCACTCTAGCCCAGGCAGCAGAGGGAGACTCGGTCTCAAAA